TTTGGGCAGGGGATAAACCTTCTTTAAACAGAAACTTTATGACACTTCGATACTCAGTTTTCGACATTTTGAAAAAATACGCGACTCTCGTTATTCAAATGCCTGTTAAACTAAGACTAAGCATTTCATGTCGATGTATGTTTCTTACATTAAGTGCACGATAAACGTACTATTTAATGCAACACAACATGTAGCGACATGTCGCGTTGAACTATATCAGGCCAGTTCATTATGGGACCGCCTGGTATATATATATATATATATATAATAAACGAGCGTACATACGCCCATATATATATATATATATATATATATATATATATATATATATATATATATATATATATATATATATATATATATGGGCGTATGTACGCTCGTTTATTAGCTGCAGCTGTTTGTTTATAATTTAAGAAAGTTAAAAAATTTGTTATCAATTTCTTACATTCAAGATAATAAAATTGACTTTATATTTTATTTTGTTCTATTTATTAATACCCACCCAGTATTACTAATCACAAATAATCACAATACCTCATTAGTTATTGTAATTGGGTAAAAATATCTATTTAGTTACTAATACCTACCCAGTAGGTAAATATTAAAATAATAAATGTAGCATTATAAACAGTAAATCTCCCTCAAACTCAATTTACTAATATTGTTCCTAAATAAGGAATAGCAGATAAAAGATTAGTAATAACTGTTGCTCCTCAAAATTATATTTGACCTCAAGGTAAAACATATCCTAAAATTCAGTAGCTAAATAAAATAATAATACCTACTATTCAAGTATATTTTCAATATGTATGTAAGTAAATGAAAATAACAAAAATGAAGCACCATTAGCATGTAAAGTTCGAATCCACAGTTAACATTTCGACAAGTATTATAATTCACACTATAAAAAGCTAATTCAATATTAGAGGTATAGTGTATAGTAAAAATAATCAAAGTAGTGATTTTATTAAATAGATAATATGTGAGAATACATACTTCTAATATAATGCAACTAATATACCGAATAAAGAAATTTAAAATACATTCATCATTATTGTCTGCCGTGTCTATTTCCATAAAATCCATTGACATCCATTGACATTGAAAAAATAATACTACGTTCGTACCAGTAGGTGGCGTCTTGCAGATTTCTTACGCGATATATTGTAGCCAGCGTAGGCGGACCGAACGCTCAAGGTCGTTCGCTAGGGGTAAGGCCTTAACGTTAATTTATTATTCGGACAAGCTCTTACTGTGCTGGCGAGTTTAAAAAATGTATAACCATGGGAAAATCATACTCAAAAACTGAAGTTAAAGAGATTGTTATATCTCAAAATGCATCAGAAGGAAGCAATGAAGTAATAGCGCAAGTTACTCCGAACGAGAAAATCGCGTCAACATAAACAATATACTGATTACTACGGTTTTAGTGTTGATGGTGATTGTAATACTTGCAATCATTTACCTGAAACTCAAGTTGAGGCTTAAGAAGTTGATAGAACAGCAAGTGAGCTACGAATTTTTATGAAGAGTACACAGCCGTTTGTATGAGCGCCAGGAGCAGGAACCAGTGTGTGAAGAAGGAGTCGTTAGTGTTAGCTGGTAATAAATATGTGCATCCTACTCTGTGCTAGATGTAAAGTGTGTGTTTAGTGTTGCGGTGATACTTTTAGTTTAAAAAATAAATATAATATAGACATTAACAATAGTTTTAGAATTAAAAAAAATTAGTTTTATCTATCAATAAATAATTGCCTAAACTAAAAATAAAAACTTAAGTAATTCAATGTAAAATCCAATACACAATTCGTGGAATTACAGTTCGTGCAGCAGGCCTGCCACCACTTCCTTTTCAGTCCTTAGCATTTCGAGTGAAACTCTATCATATCCGGCAGCCTTACCTGCTTTCACGCTTTTCATTGCTTTCATTATTTCATCTATACTTATCTCGCTACCCCTTTTCTCTTCTTTCGGAGTTTCTACTTCATTTATTTTATACGTTGTCTCCTCACTCATAAAAACGCTTTCAAAATGTACCTTCCATCTCTTTAAACTCAAAACTTCATCATTCAAAATATAGCCATTCTCATCTCTTATAGCATTTATTATAGGCTGTTTTGAATGTCCCACAGTTCTTACGAGTTTCCAGAACATTTTAATATTTGTCTGGAAGTTATCCGATATTCTTCTATCATTCTTACCCGTTCTTTCTTGCCTTTTTCTTTCAACTACTTCTTTTACTCTCTTATTTAGATGTCTAAAGACTGCCTTTTTTTCTTTCAATATCATCATTCGTACCGCTAGAATTAACAGCTTTTATTGCTAGTAAATCTAGCCACGCTCTCTTCTTTACTTCAACTTCCATATGTGTCTCATCGTCCCACCATAACTTATAATTTTTCCTTTTCATTCTTTCTCTTACTAACACCAATTACTTCGATAGCTGCAGCCACTAAACCTTTCTTAACATTTTGCCATACATTCTCCAAGTCTAACTCATTCATACATAATTTATTCATATCACTTATATTTTCTTTCAGTCTACATTTGGAGGCCCTATAGGTTTTCCACCGAAACCCTATATCAAACATCTAAGCTGCTCTCCGTTAGAAAACTTTATATTTTACACATGATACTAAGATATCACAAAACGTTACAATTTGACCATACCAAACTTACGAAAAGGCGGTGCGATATCGTGGCTCCTCATACCCTGCACGTACAGTATTTGCCACTCGACAAAATATATCTCAAGCTCCTCATGCCTATAACAAGATCAACCGCGTACTTAAAATTTACCCAATGCAAATGTTTGAGTGTAGAAAAACTCTGACCGAGTGGCTCTATACTCATAATTATGATGATGTGGAAAAATTTTGGTCAAAAAGAGATGAACCAGTTTTAAATAACACACACTGACACAACAAATCAGTAGGTAATGTGACACATTTATAAACTTGCATTCATACTCACCCACTCATATTCACGCATACACACACACACACACACACACACTCACACACACACACACACACACACACACACACACACACACACACACACACACACACACACACACACATACACACACACACACACACACACACACACACACACATCATAAACTAACACTACGGACACAACTACTCAGGTATACATTTCTCCTAAGCTTCTTTCTTTCATTTTAAAATGCATGAATAACTGTTATATTAAGTTTAAAATGTTTATATTTTTTGATGTAAATCTAAGTTGATATGATTACGTAGGAAGAGCGAGACTCTCCCAACACAAGTATCTTATGATTACTTTCTGGGAGGCCTCGGCAAATAGCTGTAAAATGATTTACTGAAATAAAACATTTTTAATTTAATTTAATTTACATTTGAACTTATTTTTCTCACCTTTCTCTTGTAACCTTTCAGTTCTAATACACTGTAACGCAGTGGTAGACACAGATGACCGATGGCGCCAACGCCTGAATAGACCATTAATTCGGCATAAAACCAAATAATGATCCGTTCCTACGTTAGACTCCCGGTAAGCCCTTGTATCTACCACTGCGCCCCTCATTCTTTCATCCACAATTACGAAATCTATCATGCCTCTATCATCACCTCTTTCCCAAGTATACTTGTGAATCCTCTTGTGGTGAAAGCAAGTGTTCGTCACAAAAAGATTCTTTCCATATATACAGCGAGGAGGCTTTCACCATTCTCATTTATACTTATTAACATAACTTGCTCATCGGCTTACAGGGACTATCAATTTACATCAGATGTGTTTATCATGAAAAACTTAATTAACAATCTGCCCAACAAGACATTCGACAAACCAGACTGGTCATGTCTAGAAAATATTCAACTCGCCGATCCCGAATTCCACGTGAGCCGCCTAGTAGACTTGTTGCTGGGGGCGGACGTCTATTCTTCTATCATATTAGGCGGTATCATTTCATCACAACAATCACAACCTGTGGCACAGCAAACGCGTCTCGGGTGGATTTTATGTGGCAACGTAAAATCCTGTCAATGCAACGTTATTATGAACAATATAGATGAGATTCAACGTTTTTGGGAGACAGAAAATATACCTGACGAACTCACCATGACCCAAGAAGATGTTCAATTTCTGGAGTATTTCAAAAACACGACAACAAGGCAAGAAGATGGGAAATACATAGTTAGATTGCCATTTATATCAGAAGCAGTTCAAAAATTGGGAGAATCAAAATCAAGCGCAATAGCGCAGTTTAAACAGTTAGAAAAAAGATTTACTTACCGAAAAAATATTGAAAAAGAATATAAATCATTTATCCACGAGTACTTGGAATTAGGTCATATGAAAATGTCGCCATGCAACAAGACGCCTGTCTACAGTCTGTATTTACCACATCATTGCATTCAACGACCAGAGTCAACAACAACTTCGCTTCGAGTAGTCTTTAACGGAGCGTCATAAACTTCCAGCGGCTTAAGCTTGAACGACGTTATGCACCAGGGTCCCAATCTGCAACAGGACCTGTTATCACTAATTATCACCTGGCGACAGTACCAATATGCCTACACCGCTGACATCGAGAAAATGTTTCGGCAAATTCTCATTTACGAAGAAGATCAGAGATATCAAAGAAACATATAAAAAAAATGGATCGAAAGTGTAACGGCTGTGATGCCGTAATATACGACATTTCGTATATGGAATGTGCAAGAGATGGATGCAATAAATTGTACCATCTTAAGTGCTTGGCTCTGACGAAGGATAAATACGAAGCGTTTACCGAAGAATACAAGTGCAATTGGAGATGCCCGGAGTGTGTTTGCAGTGCACCGAAACGGGATAATTCGGACACACCAGTTCGAGGTAACCAGAATATAATGAATCAAACTTCTACCCCTTGCTATGTAAACTCAGATCGAGGCAATAGGATGTTTCCAAAAGAAGTTATAGAATTGGATATCATTAGTAAAATACTGCAAGAATTGCAAGAATTTAGATTTGAAATGAACTTTAAAATAGATGAACAAATAAGGGAGTACAATTTGCTCAAGGACAGGTTTGTTGATACCGAAACAGAATTGCGTAAATTACGAGATACTTTGAAAGTAGTGCAGAAGAAGGCAAGCAAAGTCGATGAATTACAAGCGCAGATAAAAACATTGGAGCAAAAAAATGAGCAATTAAAGAATTGCCTGAACAAAAAATCAGCCTACAAAAGAAAGAAATGAGACAGTTAAGGAAATCATAAAGGAGACTTTATCCTTTGCAAAGGTACTCACACAAAACGAAAAGCAGGTACTAAGCAAAAATCAGCCAGTAAACAAAGATAATAACAAAGATAAGCGTGTAGTGGCATGCGTGGCCATGAAACCGACATGTAATATAGAAACCGCTGCGGAGAGTTTTGATAAAGAACAACTATCGACAGATAATACAGAAAATAAGATGGAAACTAGCAAAAAGAAAGGATCATGGATAACTGTACAGAAAAAGAAATATCCTGAGAGGCAAGTCTTAAGAGGAGGAAATACTGGTACAGGAAATATTCAAGGTACTGCAAGGAAAAAATATTTACATGTTTGGCGATTCAAAAAGGATATTACAGTAGAAAGTTTGGAAGGACATGTAAAGAATATATGTGGAAAAGAGACGGAAATAACAGTGGAAAAAATTAAACTTAAGACGGAACGAGACTATGCGTCATTTATAATAGGAGTTCCAGAAAGTTCATACGAAATACTATGTAAACCAGAATGTTGGGCAGTTAACATTGAATTTTGTGAATGGGTGTGGTTTCGTAAACCACCCAATAAGTAATAAGAAACCACTCAATTTTGTGGAGATATACTATCATAACGTGAGAGGATTGAGAACAAAATTACACGATTTTTATGTGGGAATTTCTTACCATAGTTATGATTTTTTTGCAATAACAGAAACAGGATGCAACAATTCTATCTATGATTCAGAACTTATCCTACCTGGATACATGATACTTCGGTGTGATCGAGCAGACGGACGCAAGCAGGGTGGTGCGTGTTTAGTGGCCACACCACGATACGAGCTGCGGGAACTAAATACCCCGAACGTTGTACGTATTCAAGATCACGCATTTGAACTGGTTAGCGCTGCGGTTTATCAACAAAATAAGTTCATGTTTGTGTTGTGTGTAGTATACATTCCACCGAGTTGTGGTGATAATGAATAAATGTTGTTGTTAAGTATAATAGAAAATTATCGTGATGGCTACAATGATTTAATAGTGATAGGCGATTTTAATTTATATTCTAGCTCAACAAATGTACGCAATCATTTTGAGTACTTTTGCACATATTGTGAATTCACCCAGTACAAAAAAATAGGAAATTGCAATGAACGACAATTAGATCTTGTTTTGAGCACGCGTTCAGTGGAAAAAGAATTGGAGGTGCGCGTGGCTGAGCCAATCGTGCCGCCCGACCCACATCATCCTCCGCTCGCCATTGTGGTGCAGCGGGGGCGTGCGCGGTACGGCGGGCAGCCCGCGCCGGCACCACTGCTAGCTGAGTCTGAGGGGAGCAATCAGACGCATACTGGATGGAACTTCTATAAAGCAAACTTTCCGTTAATGTATTCGTTAATAGCGGCCATAGATTGGATGCCAATGTATAGGTTAGATGTAAATAATAGTTTAGATTATTTTTATGAGGTTTTAAACAAAGTTATGGATGACTGCGTGCCAAGAAAAAAGCGAAGACGTGTAAACTCGGAGTACAGTTACCCCGAGTGGTATACGATAGACATTATTCGCAACATACAATTAAAAGCTAGGCTTCATAGGCAGTTTAAGGTTAGCAAATCAGGGGCCGATTATGAGGCGTTTGCTAAGTGTAGAACGTATGTAAAATATTTAATAAACTCCACGTACAAAATTTATAAAGACCGGATGCTTAGTGAGTTTCAGGAAAATCCAAAGGCGTTCTGGGCTTACATTAACTCAAAAAAAGACAGCTGAAGTCCACGCAAGATTTTAAAAGATAATAAGGTACTTACTAGTGAGCAGTGTGCTACTGAGTTTGCTCAGTATTTTTATTCGGTATTTAGCCCTAAAATGTCTAAGCTGGACGTGGAGGTGGCAGTGAATCAGGCTGGTGGTAAGAATGGTGCGGCTAGGGTACACTTAGAACAACTAAAGCTTGATGAAGTACTTTACGCTCTGCAAAAACTCAAGCCAAAAAAGTCAACGGGACCCGATGGCATACCGCCCTACATTTTCAAAGACTGTAGACTAGTACTTGGTAAGCCACTTCTCTACATATTTAATCAGTGCCTGGCGGAGGCAGTGTTTCCAGATAGATGGAAAACAACCAAGGTAGTCCCAGTACCAAAAGGAAAGTCAGCATCAAACGTGGACCAATATAGGCCGGTTGCTGTGCTTTCGACACCAGCTAAAGTACTGGAGGCTGCAGTACACAAGAGCATCCTCTCGCAAGTTAATGTACAGCTTTCGGATGAGCAACACGGTTTTAGACCCGACAGGAGCACCACCAGCAACCTAATTAATTATATGAATTATATTGTACCTGAAGTGGATGCTGGAGGACAGGTAGATGTAGCTTTCTTGGATTACAAAAAAGCTTTCGACCTAGTGGATAATGACATACTGCTCACAAAACTGGCAGGTGTAGGATTTACTCCCCATTTACTAACATTTTTTGCTAGTTACATGCGGAACAGAAAGCAGTATGTAGAATATGCGGGGTGTAGGTCAGAAAACTATTTAACTAGGTCCGGAGTAAGTCAGGGCAGCAATCTCGGTCCATTGCAATTCATATTGATGATAAATGACCTTCCAACGGTTGTCAAAGATGCTCATTGTACTCTATTTGCAGATGACCTGAAACTGTATCTTGCTGTGAGTAACAGAGAGGATTGCCAAAAGTTACAACAAGATATAGATAGGGTGGTAGGCTGGAGCCAACATAATAACTTACAATTTAACATCACGAAGTGCATAACTATGACCTTCAGCCGTGTACGATCTCCAGTTACGTACCAATACCAGGTTAACGGGGCACCAATAGCGAAAGTGTCAAAAGTCAAAGATCTAGGGGTTAATTTCTCCTCTAAACTAGAATTTGGAGAGCATGAGCATGCATGAGCACAGCCAAAGATGAAGGTCATAAGTATCAGGAAAGCCCAGCAGCGAAGGTCCTGCAAGAACATTTTTATATGGACGACCTGATCAGTGGGAGTCATGACCTCGCATCAGCTAAAAAGTTACAATCTTAATTGTAGTTAATCGTAGACTTAAAAAACTTACTAAAAGCAGGTGGATTTAATTTAAGAAAATGGTCAGCCAATACACCGTGTCTTCTAGAGGGAGTCAGCACAGCAAATACCAACCAGCAAACATATGACTTCAAAACTGAAATATCTACAAAAACCTTAGGCCTGCAATGGCTTACGCAATCAGATCAGCTTACTTTTGACTTGAAGATCGATTTATCAACATCAAAACTAACGAAACGAAGCTTGTTATCAAATATCTCAAAGCTCTACGACCCAGTAGGATTTTTAACGCCAGTTAGCACAAAATTGAAATTATTATTCCAAAAAATTTGGCAATATGACTTAAAATGGGACGACGAGCTTCCTTATGAGATTCGAGTGGATTGGACAAAGATCAAAGAAAATATCAAAAATATATCACAGATACGTATACCAAGATGGTTAAAGAGCAACGCGCGCGTCGATGAACGCATACGCTTGCGCAATTTATTGCAAGATATTTCGTGAAAAACAAGAGGGAAGTAAAAACATATCCGTCGTCCCCGTTACAGCAAAATCCAGGCTAGTACCACCGAAAAAGAAGATCAGCTTACCCTCGCTTAGAACTGTGTGCAACCCTACTTTTATCAAAGCTCATGGAAAAGGTGAAATCATGTTCGGCAGATTACAATATCAAAATGTTTGGATGGTGTGATTCGACATCAGTATTGGGTTGGCTGCAAAGGAGATCCGAAACGCTGGAACATTTTTGTAGCCAACAGAGTAGCTAAGATCACAGAAGTTTTACCACCGGAATGTTGGCGCTATGTCAAGTCACAGAATAACCCAGCTGATTGGAATCAGCACGAAACAGCTTCATCGACATCAGTTGTGGTGGCATGGACCAGCGTGGTTATCATACTCCGACGATGATAACGTAAAGAAGATCACTTACACCACCGATGAAGAGGTCAAAACCATAAAGCAAGTACACACCACAACCTGCTCAAGCGAAGACGACGTCATTACCCAATTAATAAGCAAGCACAGCATTTTCACGCGAGTGACACGAATATTAGCCTACATACTACGTATAAAGCAAAATAATAAGCAAAGCTATTTAACAGCACAAGAATTACAAAAGGCAAAGCAAAAAATTATCAAGCACGTACAAAGCAAGGAGTTTGGAGAAGATATCGGCTATTTACAAAAGTATAACAAAGCAAGGCCAAATAGCAAATTATTACCTTTAAATCCTTTTATCGATTCTGAAGGTATGTTGAGAGTAGTTAGGACTGCAAAACGCTTCGATCAGCAAAGAAATGATGCATAACCTTAACATCCCCCACGAGAGTCACCTGACAAACCTACTCATTGATCAAGCCCATAAAATGACATATCACGGAGGAGCCCGTGTCATCTTAGCGTGGCTACGACAACAGTATTGGGTCCTAGGTGGGAACAAAGCATTCAAAAAACGCTTGCGCAACTGCGTAACCTGTAAAAAACACAACCCTACAAAACATCATCAGCTTATGGGCGATCTTCCTGAAGCAAGAATAATTCCGTCGAGACCATTTCTTCGAACAGGGGTGGATTTTTCAGGTTTTGTGGACGTAAAATCAAGTAAAGGCAGAGGAATCAAGACCTTTAAAGGATACATAGCAGTGTTTGTTTGTATGGTCACAAAAGCCATACATCTTGAGTTAGTATCCGATTTAACTTCATCAGCATTCTTAGCAGCATTAAGAAGAATGGCGGCGAGGCGTGGCACACTACATCAAATTTACAGCGATAATGGTACGAATTTCGTTGGTGCCAACAGAATCATCAATCAAGAAATAATTGATCTAAAATCCATTATCACAAATGAGTTCTTATCAGAAATAAGCGAAATGAATATCACATGGCATTTCAATGCTCCATCATGGCCCAGTGCGGGGGGTCTGTGGGAAGCGGCTGTGAAGAGTGTTAAATA